GACGCCTTCAATCAATAACTGTTTGACATCGGGTAATTTGTAGGTTTTGTTATTCATCCTTACATAATTTTTAATAGATGACCAGGCCAATTCTATTGGATTGAGTTCGCAATGATATGGTGGTAATCTTTCTACAAAACAGCCATGTTGTTTTACGAGTTCGTCAATTACGTATTTTTCGTGTTGAGGCTTATTCTTCTTCACAACATCCAAAAGTTGTGGGATGATCATTTTATGCTTGGGTCGATGTGTAGGTATATTCCTATCCTCCAACCATTTAATAATTTCGGCCTTATTGTTTTTCGTCGTAGGTGCTTTGTCCATCTTCACCGAATGATATGAAGCGTTGTCCATAATTATGACACTATCCTTTTTCAATCGAGGCAAAACACTCTCCATCCATTCGTAAAATACTTCTCCGTTCATCTCCTCATGATAATCCCTAACATTTTTTTTTGATTCAAAACACAACAATGCGCCTGGTACAAACCCATCTTCAGAACCAATATTAAGGACAATAAGGCGTTTACCTTTACCCGAGGGATTCACGGCACCGGTTGTTAGGCCTTGTAAAAATGCGTCCCGAGGTGATTTAATTGTTGTGTCGACCCACGTCTTACTTGTGCATTCACCAGCATTTATCCACGTTTCATCTAGAAAATACAAATGTCGTCCCTCTTCACGGTGTTTTTCTAAATTTTCAAGAAACCGTCTACGCCACAGAACAATTTCTGTTTTTTCGGTCAGTGCACTGTTTCGACTTCGTTTGGTGTACCTGAATTCCATTAGTTTTAAAAGGTGAAAAAGATTTGTCCGTGAAATATGTGGCAGAGAGTCGTCGTCGGAAACCACTTGATGTATTTTATCAATTGTCGGAATTTCTCGTTTATACCAAAAACTGTGTACATGCCTACGAATCACATTCCTATCGAACTCGTCAAAAGTATCACGGAAACCTAACCTAACACGTGTTTTACTTGGAGATATAATTTTTTTCGTCCTGTTATATT